CTATAAGATTAGAAAATGAAAATAATCCAAATATGTAAAAGTAATCCAAATAGATTTTTTTTTAAATGGCTTCTACTTCCCTGTTTAGATGTCCACTGCTTCCGGTGTAGTAGTTAATCAGGAATCCTCTGTTAGGGATAGCAACTTTGTTTGCTCTTTTTTACACTTTCCTTGCCAGAGTGAACCTAAAGGTTTTTTCACTACAAACAATGTCAGAAGCTATTAAGGAGGCCTGATTAACTACTACACAGGAGGCAGTGGATATCTAAACAGGGATGTGGAAACCATTTTTTATCTATTTGGATTACTTAACCTATTTATTTATTATTGCCATTTATATAGCGCTAACAAATTCTGTAGTGCTTTACAATATAAGAGGGGGGATTTACCTATAAAAAGGACAATTAGAAGAAAACTTACAGGAATGATGGGTTTAAGAGGACCCTGCTCAAACGAGCTTACAGTCTATTGGAGTTGGGTTGTAAAACACAATAGGACAGGAAATAGCAATCAAATAGGGTGGGAGTGAAGCAGAGCTGTAGGAGAGAGTAGAGTGCTGCCCTTTAGGAGAGAGCAAGAGACAGGTATGTGAGGTAGAGGCTACTCTGGGAGGCCATAAGCTTTCCTGAAGAGATGGGTTTTAAGGCACTTCTTAAACTATTGAAGACTAGACACAGAGAGTCTGATGGAAGTAGGCAGGCTATTCCATAGGAAGGGAGCCGCCAGCGAGAAGTCCTGCAAGAGTGCGTTGGCTGTACGGGTGCGAGCAACGGACAGGAGAAGGTCACGGGCAGAGCGGTGAAACCAAGAAGGGGCATACCTATGGATCTGTGAAGAGACATAAGAGGGGCTAGAACTATAACACACAATGAACGAGCATGCTTGTTTCGGGTTGGGGTCATGAATTTCAGTTGTGGTGCCAAAATAAAGGAGTTGAATAATGGGACTGGCTATGGAACCGACTGGACTTCCATAAGCTTCTGGTTCATCTTATTTGTTTCTTAAATTCTGTTTTCGATTCCAGAATTCTGCTGAGCCTAACTAGCATTCGGCCAAAATTCAGTAATTCCAAAAGATTTTGTTTTCTGTAAAAAGGTTCAGCTGAGCAAAATATTCTTGCCTTGCACGAGTCTAATGTCCATGTAATAAAACATTCCATAATATGAAAATGTTTAATAATTTCCAACTTAGAGTAGACATTTCCTTGCAGTTATAAAAGGAATAATATAATTTAAAACTGCCAATTTATATGACAGTGTATGCAGACACTTCTCCTCCTAATCAGAGAGCAACATTGACAAAAAATTCTGCCAACTCATGTTTTTAGCACTCCCTGCTCATTAATTACTACAAACGTGTGTTCAAATCTGGCAAAAAAAGATGTAAAATTGAGGCTGTCAATAAAACTGCCAAATATTAGCTGATCTAGCTGGTGAGTCATTAGTTCTCAGTAGCTAATGAAAGGGGCACAAAATTAAAATAAAACTTGAGTCATACCATATATCCGCTATCTTAATCCAAATAAAACCACTGCTGCGGTCTTTTATGTTACAAAAATCTTTTTAAAAAACTGAAATATAAAAGAAATGTTAGCTTGTAAATAATATTAATGTATTCCATAGTCAATATTAATTGGCAGGATGTGAGAGTGCAATAATATTTAAAAGCTATTTAACATAATTTAAAGAAGTACACATGCTAATAAAATTATTGCAGAGCTATACCAGATTAACTACAGGGATTAAATAGGGTCTCCAGGACCATGTATTTGCTTTATTTGTGAAGAATTAGGGGACCCAAAATGGTAAACACAGGGCCCTGCTGGATCTTAATCTTTTTCTAAGCTTTACATTCACCACAAAAATAATTAGTGGAGAAATCAAATGTCTGTAGTGAGCAGCCAACAGCCACTTCCATTAACAACATAGCAAATGAGCAGCTATTGCACAGTTCCCATCCCATGCTCCTACTCATGGGCATCATGTGGGGGCTTCAAATAAAAACAAAATTGGTCTGGACAGGTAACAGGACAGGTCAGGTCTATTTAAGTAATATGTATCCAGCATCCACCCATTGGCAGCAGGGGGTATTAAGTAAATGGAGGGGGGGATAGTGCCCAGCTCCCACCCATGAGTGGTGGATGCTTATTAATAAATAAATGAGGGATCTTTGTGCCCCCTCCCCAAAGTCGCACCATTTTGCAGCATGTGTGTGCAATTCAAAAAATATCGATGAGGAGGTGGACATTATTTTCTCTGCCTCCCTATTCATCCACTGATAGGCTTCAGGTATTGGGGATAGTAAAATAGGGGAGTGGACATACCTATGTCCACCCCTCCAAAGTCATGCAAAGCATGAGGAAATCCAGTGTCATTTCACAGCAGTGATATTTATAGGAATAATCAACTGGCAAAAATTTAGAAATCATTGATTAGTACTCCCGAATGAATACATACATGCATTTTCATGTATGTATTCATTGGGGGTATATCTTCAAACAGTTTGCAAAAACCTTTCAAGCCCTCCCAATTTTCTTCACATGGAAATAGCCTATCAGAAGCTTCCTTTTGTGAATCCTCTAATGGGCTCCCTGTGTGCATGCGCTCTGCCCGTGCGCACCTGCTGTGTGCGTGTACTCACAGGATTCTGAGGCCTGTGGATGCTGGCCTGATACCTCATCTGAGGGGGAGGCCAGGCATGCTTACTCAGGGGAGCTAAGTGAAGCAAGGAAGCCCCCTGGCTGTCAAACAGCCAGTGGTTATTTATTTATTTATAAAAATGCCGATTTCTCATAGATATCAACACTTATATAAACTGTCATTATCATGGTCCATTAAGACAAAACAGCGATATTCAATAAAGGGAGAATTATCAAGAATTCAAAGTGAATTTCAAAGTTAAAGCCAAAATAGTTGAAATGGAAACATTTTCCAAAATAATTTCTTGCACCAGGGCACTCTTTTCATTAGATCCACCACTGCTGCATGCACCAGATGCTATGAGCGCCAACTTAAAGTTAAAGTCAAGACCCTCCCCTGATATTGAGAGCAAGAAAACTTGATGAAATAGAGTAGATAAGCTGAAACATAGATAGAGGCAGAAGGGATAAGCTGAGATGGACATTTGCTAAGAATTGTAATGTATTCACTGTATGTATATGTTTCCTCTCAGGTGCAAAATTAAAAGGGTTACTGTTGTTGCTAAGTGATGTTGGCAATTGCCTTTCCTTTTATGTTGGCTATAATAAATAAGGATACAGTAGAACATTTAAAAAGCAGTTACCTACATTATTTTTTACAATAACTGTTGACACCCATCATTAATATGGGAATAAAATGACTTCGTAAAAGTGAGAAATTAATGTCCAGTAAGTAGGGAGAAAAATCGCCTTCAGCAGATAAATATTTCCCCTGGTACCTAAAATTGTTCACTTAAAAAAATGTGCAACTTTTTCTAACCGTAGACGAGTAGTTCAACTGCAAACAGACAAAATTGTTATACCTTACTGATCAATAATGTAATCTTTTTTTAAAATGTTCAGAAATAATTTTGTCATTAATATTGAAATGATCATGAGAGTACTAAAATATATAAGAATATCTCCACATGCAATGGCTGAATAGCAGAAAAGATTTTTGTTATAGCTCAATGTTTGCTGACTATAACGATGCCCAAAAATGAAAAACAAAAACACGTAGATTGGCAATTGAGTAACTTTTGTCTCCAGTTAATAAATGTATTTTATGTAGACCTTACTGTGAGAGTTAGACATTTCCACGATCAATACATTTTACTATTGCAGCAATACCCCCAAGTGAATGTAAACCGAGGAAATAATAGTGTACTATGAATTAAGTTCATCTGCATCTTCGATCACACAGTCGAGATAAATGCGAATCAATGGGTGTGCAGGTGCTTTTGGTAATTGTATCTGACGTGATTCTTCTTTACAGCAATAAACTGGTAAAAGACAAGTTAAGTTAAATTTCTCATGGAATCTGTTTAAAGAAGCCATGTCTTATCCTATGCTAAATGTGCAAATGAGATCTAGAACTGTAATTCGACATGTCTCACAAGGCATCGGCAACAGAGGACAAATAGGTCAACATTTCCAGCTAAATACCTAAACGGTTTAATGATGTCATCTCAACACTAATAATATACAAGGAACCTGCCGTTCAAATAACGCAGGCTAATAATAAAATGAAATCATACTTACTTTATTTTTTTCTGGCTTTTATCAGATTTATTTGTAGGTTAGCTCCACCCCTTTGGCAAGGCAGGATATTTGCATTTTGTTATATACAGGAGGGCACTGGAAGTCTTTGTATCCTTTATGTTTGCCAGTAGCTACTAACCATCGTCTAATGAAAGCTGTAGAAGCTGCCTCTACTCTTGGAATATTTAAAGAATTAAAGAGTATATCTTTTCTCCACTCATAAAAACAATGATGATAAATAAAAAATATTTCTTACTAGATCAAACAAAGGTCAGGCTTCCTCTACTTCATTAGAAGGGATTAGGAAAATAGGAGGGTAGGATGTGTCAAGTTGGTCTTTAGATCTGTACTCCAAGTAACAAAATATATTTCATCATTTCAAGTATTTCCACAGAACTGGTGGGATACTTTCGTAAACGGAATGTATCAAATGTTTATTTCCATTCTTTGTAACCTTTGATATTTTTGTATGCCCAGGTGCATCTCTATATACTCGAGTGTTCCCATCAGTATGGACCAGCAGGAACCTAAATTAATCAGACCAGACAAAGTGTTCTTACTTCTGAAATATTTTTAGTCCATCTTCAATCATTTACCTTGGAACATTATATTCTTAGGGAAATCATACTCTCCATGTTTTCTGGGAAATATATCATTTAGTAACTAGTGATGTACCGAACTGTTCGCCGAACGGTTCGCAAACGGTTCGCCACGGTTCGCCACGAACGGTTCGCCACGGACTTATCATTGAGTAAACTTTGACCCTGTACCTCACAGTCAGCAGACACATTCCAGCCAATCAGCAGCAGACCCTCCCTCCCAGACCCTCCAACCTCCTGGACAGCTCACTAAGAATGCAGCTTCACAATGGATGCTGTCCAGGAGGTGGGAGGGTCTGGGAGGGAGGGTCTGCTGCTGATTGGCTGGAATGTGTCTGCTGACTGTGAGGTACAGGGTCAAAGTTTACTCAATGATGAGTCCTTGGCGAACCGTTTGCGAACCGTTCGGCGAACAGTTCGGGACATCACTATTAGTAACATGATGGAACAATGGTAATCATTATGATCAAATAAGAAAGCGGAAACTCAATATACAAAATATACAGGGAGTGCAGAATTATTAGGCAAGTTGTATTTTTGAGGATTAATTTTATTATTGAACAACAACCATGTTCTCAATTAACCCAAAAAACTCATTAATATCAAAGCTGAATATTTTTGGAAGTAGTTTTTAGTTTGTTTTTAGTTTTAGCTATGTTAGGGGGATATCTGTGTGTGCAGGTGACTATTACTGTGCATAATTATTAGGCAACTTAACAAAAAACAAATATATACCCATTTCAATTATTTATTATTACCAGTGAAACCAATATAACATCTCAACATTCACAAATATACATTTCTGACATTCAAAAACAAAACAAAAAGAAATCAGTGACCAATATAGCCACCTTTCTTGCAAGGACACTCAAAAGCCTGCCATCTATGGATTCTGTCAGTGTTTTGATCTGTTCACCATCAACATTGCGTGCAGCAGCAACCACAGCCTCCCAGACACTGTTCAGAGAGGTGTACTGTTTTCCCTCCTTGTAAATCTCACATTTGATGATGGACCACAGGTTCTCAATGGGGTTCAGATCAGGTGAACAAGGAGGCCATGTCATTAGATTTTCTTCTTTTATACCCTTTCTTGCCAGCCACGCTGTGGAGTACTTGGACGCGTGTGATGGAGCATTGTCCTGCATGAAAATCATGTTTTTCTTGAAGGATGCAGACTTCTTCCTGTACCACTGCTTGAAGAAGGTGTCTTCCAGGAACTGGCAGTAGGACTGGGAGTTGAGCTTGACTCCATCCTCAACCCGAAAAGGCCCCACAAGCTCATCTTTGATGATACCAGCCCAAACCAGTACTCCACCTCCACCTTGCTGGCGTCTGAGTCGGACTGGAGCTCTCTGCCCTTTACCAATCCAGCCACGGGCCCATCCATCTGGCCCATCAAGACTCACTCTCATTTCATCAGTCCATAAAACCTTAGAAAAATCAGTCTTGAGATATTTCTTGGCCCAGTCTTGACGTTTCAGCTTGTGTGTCTTGTTCAGTGGTGGTCGTCTTTCAGCCTTTCTTACCTTGGCCATGTCTCTGAGTATTGCACACCTTGTGCTTTTGGGCACTCCAGTGATGTTGCAGCTCTGAAATATGGCCAAACTGGTGGCAAGTGGCATCGTGGCAGCTGCACGCTTGACTTTTCTCAGTTCATGGGCAGTTATTTTGCGCCTTGGTTTTTCCACACGCTTCTTGCGACCCTGTTGACTATTTTGAATGAAACGCTTGATTGTTCGATGATCACGCTTCAGAAGCTTTGCAATTTTAAGAGTGCTGCATCCCTCTGCAAGATATCTCACTATTTTTGACTTTTCTGAGCCTGTCAAGTCCTTCTTTTGACCCATTTTGCCAAAGGAAAGGAAGTTGCCTAATAATTATGCACACCTGATATAGGGTGTTGATGTCATTAGACCACACCCCTTCTCATTACAGAGATGCACATCACCTAATATGCTTAATTGGTAGTAGGCTTTCGAGCCTATACAGCTTGGAGTAAGACAACATGCATAAAGAGGATGATGTGGTCAAAATACTCATTTGCCTAATAATTCTGCACTCCCTGTAATATGTGCGCTCTAAAGCTAAGAAAGAAAACAGAAAAACTCTAAATAAAAAGTAAGTATACCTTTAATAAAATATCAACATATAATAAAACATAAACCTATATAGTGTTTCCTGTTTTCCTGTTCTTTTTAAAACAAAAACAACCTCTAGGGGGGCAAATCACTCAATTCTATAGATACTTATATATATGATGCTGTTGATGCCTATGAAAATCCCAAATAGGGAACAAAACCACAAAGAATAGTATATAAAAGGTGACAATGTACAATGACCCAAAATGAAGCAGCCAAGGCAATCTACGGCCAAAGGGGTAAGATGGCTAAAAATAGCAAAAAGATATCTAATGTAAAATCTCTGCAAAAACCCCTAGAGAGGAATAATTGTACAGATAAGTATTAAAATGAATATCCAGAGAATTTTAGAATAGTCAATGAAGTTCTAAATACAGCGGCACCTTGGTTTACGAATTTACTGCGTTCTCCGGGACGTTTCTTATTGCGAAAAATTTGTAAACCGAAATGTGGTTTCCCATAGGAATGCACTGAAAACCAATTCATCCGTTCTGGAGGTCAGAAAAAAGTCTAAATGAGCTGGCATGGAAACCAACCCACAATGCAGAACACACCATAAAAGGCATGCAAGCGACAAAGCTCCCTACCTTTCCACAGCTTGAAAAATGCACCAAAAAGTTCCAAAACAACTGCCAACAATTTCCAGAATTGCTCCAAAACTCGATGCAAAAGCCGCTCCAACACGTCCACACTCGAAGCCACGTTCTACCCACAGGCTCCAGCATGCAAGGGGTGGTGCTATAAACCTCCCAGGTGCAATGCATCCTGGGGAAACTTGCTTTGTATTGTGAAAACAATTTGTAAACCAAGGCATTATTTTCAATGGATTTTCATTTGTAAACCGAAAATTATATTAACCGACGCGTTTGTAAACCAAGGTCCCACTGTATGAGTATAATCGTGATAGACACAAACCTCCAAAGCTGGGTGAAGGCAACAGTTTCAATACAAACAAAGCAGCATGTTGCAGCCCAACGTGAAAGGTTTCAATGTATCACTAGATCATAAGGGTGAAGTGCCTAAATGTTGCAAAATCAGAATGTCTGTCAAACACATAGCCTGCAGTACAAATTACACACATAAAGAACAACAAAATGTCTAAAAAAAGGATACACCTTTCTATAGAGGAGGAAGGAGTAATATACAATGCATAAAAATGACAAAAATAAATAACACAAGGATATATGCCGAAAACTTGAAGTTCCAAATCTGAGTAATATGGAGCACTAAAGAGACAGTACCTGACCTTGGTGTGTGATAACAAGGACTTGATTGTAGCTTAGCAGTCTGGTAAATTCTCAAAGTCATTCTAAAGCACTCAGTAGTGTTGGGAAACTAACTTCCGCCAAAGTTTTATGTTTGATTTATATGTTGATGTTTTATTAAAGGTATACTTAAGTTTTATATCGAAACAGTCTTTCTGTTTTCTTTCTTAGCTTTGTATATTGAGTTGACATATATCATTTATACAAATTGATGGGCAACATACAGAAAGTGCTGCCCAGCAGTATGTAGACATTAGGTGCTGCAGGTAGTAAATTGGGTGATTAATAAATCAGGACTCCTGCAGCATCTACATTATCCATAACACAAGGCAGCGTTTTTCCTGTGCTACCAATCAAAATTATGAGATTAAGTGTGTTCCAGAAACCATGGTGAATTTGGGAGCTGTATAAATTCTGAAATGTTAATATAAAACCTCTACACTCTTGTGTTTTTTTATCCCCCTCTATCCTTCAACGACTTTTCACCTTCGGCACTAGTTATTTATCAGCAGTTGGTTTTATTATATTAATCTTCAGTATTCGTTGAGATAACTGCACAAGTCATGATAATTCAGTTCTTATGCTTGTACCCATTTTGTCCACGCGTACCATGCTGTAAAACAAAGCACTGATTATATTTCAAAGATACGTTTTGCTAAATTGAATTCCAATGCCTCTAGTAAGTGAAGCTGCCTTGTGATTAACACTGCTTGACACGAATAAAGACTTTCACATTTTTGCTGATCTGACTCAAAGTTTATGAATGTTCATCAATACAATAGCCAATGTTTTTAGATGACTTGCAGGTTGCAGATTATTTTCCACATATTATGTGTTATGCAAAATACTTTCTCAAACAACGTCTTCAAGCAGTCCATAGACAAACTATCTTGGATGAATGCAGATTGTTTTAAAATCTGAAGTTGTTGGGGACTAATGCATAGCTCCTGATAGCAAGCACAATCCCAGATTGTTCCTTCTTGCTTCTTAATGAGTTTCTGCACACTATGGGGAGATTTATCAAAGAAAAACGTGCTATTGTTGGTGCAAAGTGTTTAAGGCTGAGAGATATTATATTGGTTTGCAAAGTACATTATTTAGTAATTTACAATAGAATAAATCCTATTTTACCTTGCTAAATCTTCTCCTATGTGTGTTTTGAAAAGATCCAGAACCTAAACTTAAGGACCACTATAGGCACCCAGACCACTTCAGTTTAATGAAGTGGTCTGGGTGCCAGGTCCAGATAGGATTAACCCTTTTTTTTTATAAACAGCAGTTTTAGAGAAACTGCTATGTTTACACTGAGGGTTAATCTAGCCTCTAAAGCCTCTAGTGGCTGTCTCATTGACAGCCGCTAGAGGCGCTTGCGAAGTGAGAAGACGTCAGCGTCCATAGGAAAGCATTATGAATGCTTTCCTATGAGACTGGCTGAATGCGCGCACGGCTCCTGCCGCGCATGTGCATTCAGCCGATGACGTTGCTAGGAAGAAGGAGAGGAGGAGGAAAGCTCCCCACCCGGCGCTGGAGAAAGGTAAGTGTTTAACTCCTTCCTCTCCCCAGAGCCCGGCGGGAGTGGGACCCTGAGTATGTTTTCCTGGCACTATAGTGATCCTTTAGGATAAAAACAGTCCTGCAAATAACTTGACACCAGCCCTTGACACCAACTCCTTAAAACTATCTTTCAGGAGTGTGTTATTAATTTTATGGCAAAACAGGAGGCTTCATATTTTGCTTTTACTGAAACCTCCTAGAAGCAAAGAAACAGTTAACAATGTGGATAAAAAAAAAAAAAATCAACCAATCAGAATGTATATCAATAATATATAGCGCAATCAGACTCCTGCCACATCCTCTTTCTTTGCTGCTTGCCTCACCGGTGATAATACTTGTTTTAATTAAATTAATTTTAACTTAATATAGTTGCCTTTTAATA